TGAAGAAGGAAGGGGGAACTCGAGGTCAGCTGTCTGTCTCGGTTATGAAATCTGTGATGTTGCTTGTGCTCTGTCCTTTGACCTCTGTATGACAGCTTTGCATCAGCTAAGTAGCCACAAATTCATCACCAAGAGATTTAATCCTGTTATCAGGATTAAAACCTGCAGGGAATGTTAACACCTTCTCTAATTAATTGGCTCTATCCAAAAGTGATCTGGGATTTTTTTTCAAATATATTTTTATTGATTTCAGAAAGGATGGGAGAGGGAGAGAGAGATAGAAACATCAATGATGAGAGAGAATCATTGATCAGCTGCTTCCTGCATGCCCCCTATTGGGAATTGAACCCTGGACCCTTCAGTCTGCAAGCCAGTGCTCTAGCTACTGAGCCAAACCAGCTAGGGCTGATCTGGGATTTTTGTTCCAGGTTCTTCTCATATAGTCTATACCTCAATTTGAGGCTGTGGGGTGCTTAAACAATAGAAACTTATTTTCTGACAGTTCTGAAGACTGGAAATCTGAGATGAAGATGTCAGCAGTGTTGACTCTTTCTGAGGCCTCACCTCTCAGCTTGGCTTGCAGGTGGCAGTTCTCTCTGTCTTACATGGTTTTCCCTGTTTCTACTGCAACTCACTTTCAGAGGGACAGCTTGCTATCTAGGAGGTTTTTATCTTCCCTTGTCACAGACTTTAAGTTTCTCCTGAGATACATACCTGCTACTGTGCTGACCCCAAATCAAACTTAGTTAAATTACCAAGTGTTGATATGTGCCTTGTGAACAAAAGAAGCAACCAGAGATTTAGACTGTTCAAAACACTCTCAAACTTTCACTGTATAATAATGTCTGGCTTTATGCATATGTTTCGGCTTGGCCTGCCAGTATCAGGCCGAAACCAGCAGTCCGACATCCCTAAGGGATCCCGAGCAGCTCTAGGACTATTTGCCCCAAAGAATTGCTATATCTAAAGAATATGAATGAGTGAAAGAAGGGATTTAGGAGTAAAAAAAATGAACATATGTGTGCATTTATATATGAGGCAATATGGGAATTTTAAATCCATATAAATTCTAGGTGTCTTTTTCTAGTTCTTAAATGATATATGTATAAATGTCATGCTGGCCTTTACTATAGCATCGTCATACTAGAATGAGAATATGTGGGCAGTAATGATGCATTATAAAGTCCTCCCCCAATTTGATACCAAGATAGGATTGAAATAATTTTGGAACCCCTGGCATGTAAATGTACAGGGAATATATATATATATATATTATGCTAAGTGTCTGACCATTCGACTGGTAGCTATGACACACACTGACCACCAGGGGGGCAGATCCTCAATGCATAGGCATGGAAACATGGAACAGACTGATGAATCTCAGAGGGAAGGAGGGAGGAGGGAGGGCGGGAAGAGATTAACCAAAGATCTTATATGCATACTAGAGGCCTGGTGCACAGATTCGTGCACCAGTGAGGTCTCTTGGCTTGGCCTGTGCCCTCTTGCAATTCAGGACCCCTCAGGGGATGTCAGACTGCTGGTTTCAGCCTGATCCCCGCAGGCTAGGCCGAGGGACCCCACCCGTGCACAAATTTGTACACTGGGCCAGTTTCAGCCAGATCCCCGCAGGCCAGGCCAAGGGACCCCACTGATGCATGAATCCATGCACCAGGCCTCTAGTAAGATTATAATTATAAATTAGAGTATTGTGTATGTTGTTTCTTGCTCCTTCAGTGTCACTTTTATAAAATATGTTTAATCTTTTTAATATATATTAAATCTATATATGTATTTGATTTTCCAGTATTTTTTTCATTTACAAGTTAGCCAGGTAATTTGTGAGGAAATGTTTATTAAATCATTAAATATGATTTCTATTTGACTAGAAATTAAATTCATTTTGTTCATCTCTGATACCATTTGGGTGGGTGATATCTTTAAAGAGCTTCTTGAATATTGTGAAGATTTATTAATATTTCCCCAGAAACAACACGTACTCTTCATCTATAATAATAAAAGTGTAATATGCTAATTAGACCGGACATCCTTCCAGACGTCCTTCTGGACGCCGGGGCTACGAGGGAAGCCTGGGTCCCAGATGCCTGCCAGTGGCCAGAGAGAAGCCCAGGCCCTGGGTGCCAGAGGGAAGCCGGTGCCGGCAGCCAGAAGTAGGAAGGCCTACTCTTGCATGAATTCCATGCATCGGGCCTCAAGTATATTATATTTCACTGTACAGTAGAGTACTAAAATTCTATTAAATTTTCTTCAAACAAAATAAACTATATATTTACCTCTGGAGATGTATGATCATGTTATATCAGAACTACATAGACATGTGTGTTATAGTTAGTTTTAGAAAGCACCATCATTGCTTTCTCTGTCAAGTTCATTGACTCCTTTATAAATAATATAGTTTGTTGTGAGAGTACCTTTGGGCCTTACAGGCAAAATTAAATGAAGAAATCTTGTAGAGAATTAATTCAGAAAAATCACCAGAAAATTATCTAAGCATAGAAAAATTTTGAAAACAAATTTGGACTAGTGTCTAAATTTCTGTAAAATTTTCATTTGATTTAAAATAATTTTACTTAATTTTTTAGTATGTCTGTGTGTGTGTATGCATATTATATATAAAATATATATAAAAGCCTAAGTGACTGTTTGACCGGTAGCTATAATACGCACTGACCACCAGGGGGCAGACACTCAATGCACAGGCATGGAAACATGGAACAGACTGATGAATCTCAGAGGGAAGGGGGGAAGGGGGAGGGCGAGAAGAGATTAACCAAAGATCTTATAGGCATACTAGACGCCCTAGACTCCCGGTGCACAGATTTGTGCACTAGTGGGGTCCCTTGGCCTGGACTGCTGGGATCAGGCCGAAACCAGCAGTCTGACATCCCCCAAGGGGTCCTGGATTGTGAGAGGGCGCAGGCCAGGCCAAGGGACCCCCTGGTGCACGAATCCATGCACCGGGCCTCTAGTTATATATAAAATGACTGTATGTTTCAATGTCTATCGGAGTTGGTATGGTAGAGGGAAGCTGAGTGCTTTGGAGTCAGACATGAATTTCAGTGCTGGCCCTGTTACTTAAATTCCTGAGTCCCACCTGCAAAATAACAAAAATAATACTGGCTTTCAGTATTACCATATTCAATAATAAAGCAGTGCCTTTTACATAAAAATGCACAAGAATGTCTCTACTGCCCCTTATTCCTTATTTAATTAAAATTTTAAAAAATGGAAGACTTTAAAAAATTGTTTGGCCTAACTTAGCCTTGTTTTCTTTTTAATTAAGATGAATAGGGAAAGTTTGAACTGTGGTGTCTTGCTCTGTTTCACTGTGAACCTGCTCTGTTGCCTGCATCCATCCATCCCTCTGAGGTCTCTCTCTAGACCAGTTGTGTCTAATAGAAGTTTCTGTTACAGGAGAGCTTCCTTCCTGCTGCCAAGAAGGCCATTTAAATATGAGTGGAATTAGCTACAAATTACACAAATGTAATGTGTGAAATCTCTTTCATATGCTCTTTGTGTGAGTGAATACACCATGGTACCTCATGTCTAACATGAAATGTGCAAATGTATCCAGGCACCTTTTTTCTTTTTTCTTTTTTTAAACAGCACATGGATGTATTCACTTTAAAGTTTTCTAATCATCCCGATAAGACGTTTTCTTCATGGCTCCTGTGAAGTGTCATCTCTCGTTCTGGCAATGATAGATTGTTTATCCCCAATGAACTTGTGTATATAAAATATTTAAATCCTTTAGGACAAAATATGAAAATCACCATTTGACTTCTCTCACTGAATACTTAGAAATGCTTGTTTTCAGACTTGATAGTGAAAACACTGTGTTGATCATTATTTTGTGCTAAATTTGAAGTGGTCAAAGAAATAGTCACTTATAAATAATATTCAGGAGTCAGGGAGATTTAAAGACAAAAGTTAATAATAATAATTCCCTTGCTTATTAGTGTTTACTTTCTTACTCATGAGGCATTTTGTCAACCTCTGAATGTTTACATAAAGGTAGTGTAGGGGTGGGGGAACTGGGTTAAGGGATGGGCAGGGGATTTGCCTTGAAGTTGTGTTTATACAAGCAACACTGTTCTTACTTAGTTTGTCCTTTTATTGTTAAAGATCAATAAAAATAGCCATGTTTTTCTAAAGGTGTTTTTATTCACAAGTTACATACAAATTTTCATACTTATTGTTTTTCTTAGGGGAGATGGTTTCAAAAACTGAGATAGAGATTATTGGGGTGAGTGGCAGAGGCACCTCCCCACCCCCCACGATCCCCCAGCTACCATCTGGTGGCCACACTGTAATGAGGTGGAGGCTTCGCAGAGGGTGGTGGTGCTAGAGCAGGAGAGGGGAGAGGACCACCCATGGGTGTGGCAACACCCTCTTCCCACATCAGTAAGGACTGTGAGGGCTTCCCCAGCATGCTAGGTGACACTAGCTGCTCATGCTTGGCTAACTGTTCAACGTGACTTGTCACATTGTGGTTCTCACAGCAATTCTAGCAGGAAGGTAGATATATGGTCCTCATTTTAAAGAGGAGGAAACTGAGGCTCAGAAAATTTAAGTGTTTTCCTGATGCTGGGAGGTCGGATGCAAACTCCACTCACCACTGCTCTTGTCCTCCCTGATGGGACACAGATTTGCAGTTTCTGAACAGCAGGCAATGAAGAAAGCAAAACAGGATCTCTGATTTATATCATTTTGCCAATCGAAGGTTATTAAAATTCCAAGTTTTGTTCTTAAAACACTGTTTTAAAAATGTTAACAACTTAAAAGCCCAACGGTCTTTCATTTCCACTGCTGTTTGCAGCCTGGAGCCTGGGCCAGGCTCTACGTGGAGAGGACAGGACACTGGGCAGGGCAGGGCAATGAGGCCTCCCCAGTGCAGAGCCTGCTGTGCAGCAGGAGAGAGAAAACAGTGGTAACAATCGCAGGTCTGGGTAATGTGATCTGGTCTTCATACCTTCACTCAGGTGGAGCCCGAGAAGCTGAAGACACTAACAGAAGGTTTAGAAGCCTACAGCCGAGCCCGGAAAAGAAACAGAAAGTAAGCTCTATTATTTTTCTTCCCATTTTTTAAGTAATAAACTTTGGGTTTATTTCTTTATTTTTTATTGATTTCAGAGAGAAAGGGAGAGGAGGGAGAGAGAGATCCCACACTGGGGATCAAGCCTGCAACCCGGGCATGTGCTCCGACTGGGAATCAAACCATGACCTCCCTCCCGGTTCATAGGTTGACGCTCAACCACTGAGCAACACCGTCCGGGCCCATTTAGTATTTTAAGGATATAATTTACTGGTTTTCCTTCAAACGACAATGAAATCTCACTGATTAAGAACAGGTTGATAGTTATCACCAAAGAGGCCCATTATAGACAAACCAAATTAGCTGTTTCAGAAAATATTTTCTTAGCAATTTATACCAGGGGAGGGGATGGAGGGTTTGGTGTGTATTGGCTCTTTCCTAACTCCCTCCATCTCCATCCCTCTGATTCAGTGGACAAGGGAATATGATTAATAGTCTCAACATGTAGCAATTAAATGGTCTATGAAAGTAGAGCAAAAATTCTACCATTTACAGTTTGGCAAATTAGTCAAAGTGATGGTAAAGAATTATTTTTTCTCTTGGGGCAGATGCAGTAAGTTATCTTTGAAATTGTAACAAAAAGATGAACTTTGGGACATTATTATTCAAGTTTTTCCAGATCTTCATATTCTGAGTAAATGTGTAATGTTCAAGCAAATAATGCTTGAAGCACAGTTTCCACTATAATACAATGTAGTTTCGTGTATCATAACTTATTTTTAAAAATTTATCTTTATTGTTGAAAGTATTACAGGTGTCCCCTTTTTATTTTATCTTGAGGTAAAATGTTGCTTCTGTGTGTGTACATGAAAAATTATTTTCAAATATATATAACTGACAGACCTGTTCAGATACTACAGTTTTCATATTACGTATCAGACATCCAAGAATTATGAAACCAGAATGCTTAGGCGTGCCCTTTGTGTAAATATCTATTCAAGGGCACTCTAGTTCTTTTAGTGGGGTCGTCAATAATTCTTGCCAGAGGTAAAATTTTAGAACTCCACAGATCTTGGGGAGACTCTTTATCTCACTGGAATGTCTCCTAACAGGGTGTCAACTGCAAGGGCCAGCTCCTATGCTGGACTCCTGTGTTGGCACTGGCTGGACGAGGGCCCAGGGAATGGGCAGATTCACTGCAGAGCTGATGAGGAACGCAGTGAGGCGGGTGCCCTCTGCTCTGAAAGAGACTCTTCCTGTGGAGGCTCGGTAGTAGGATAAGGCCTATCCAATTAATATAAGATCTGAATGAAAGGAGAGGATTGCAAATTACCTACATCCCAAATTCACAATGGGCTGTTTACTATAGAGTGTCAACTGTACTTGTTTATTTGATGTAAAAAGAAAATCTCTAAAATCTTTCTTCCAGTGAGGCATGCGGGTTAGTTGGATTATGAGCAGAATACCCAAAGCATAGTTGATAACTCCAAATTTTTAGATATTCTGCCTTGAAATAAGCTGTGTTTTCCCCACAAATTTGTTACTATGCAATTTCTGAAAGGTATTGAGTAACAAACAGTGTTTTAACAATTTTTTCTTCAAAACCAGTTTACTATTTGTAGTGAATTATCTGAAGTAACTCTGATGAAACCGTAAACTTCACGTGCAGGCTAAAGAGGTAAAGAAGAAATTATGAAGCACACATTAGTAAAAACAGATTTATTTATACCATTGTCTAAGTAGACTGACTTGCCTTGCAAATGCCCAGAAGAATAGTTTACACTTTGCGTGTGTGGTTTATGCAATCACAAGATGGGCCAGAATCACTGAGCCCATTTATAGATGAGGACACTCAGACCCAAATCGCTTAAATAATTAGTGGAAGGTCACATGAGTGATAAATGATATGTTGAATCCAGTCATTTATTTATTCCCCAATTAAGGAAACTAAATTACCAAAAAAAAAAAGTGCCAGGCACAGTACTACAGCTCTCTGATGAAGAAGACAGATCCAGAAACAAACAAAATGCTAAAATTGCAGGGATAGCAATGTGTGTAGTCTATTTTGAGATCATAGGGAAGCGGCATTAAACTCAGGGACAGGAAGACTTCCTGGAGCAGATGATCTCTACCTAGGTGTGAACCAGATGAAAGAAACAAGGACTGCAATGGGGTGGGCTGGGAGAGTGTTTAGATGAGATCAACAGTTGGAACTGGGACTATAAGGTGTCAGAAGCTGTAAGAGATGTAACCACAGGTGTAAGCAGGAACTAGACCGTAAGAGCCCAGTGCAGGCCCATGGGATCCTTGATCTTATTGGAAGTGCCTGAAGGGGACAGGATTTTTACTTTAGAAATGGCTGTATGGAGGATAAATTGTAGGGGAACAATTCTGGAGGCAGGAAGATGATTTAGGAGGCCACAGTAGAAGACAAGGGAGATGGGGACTCACACCAGGAAGAGCACAATGCAGATGGAGGAGGAGGAGGTGGCATAGAAATATCTGGGAGGTAAAATTAACAGAGCATCCTGGTGACTGAGTGGCCTGTGATGGAGAGTAAGCAATCAAGGACAACTGTCAAGATTTTGGTTTGGATGTCCTGGTGGGTGGCGGAAACCCTGACTGGAATGGAGAAGACAGGGAGAACTGTTGGGTGCTGTGTGGATGCCTGTGGGATACGTTGGACACTCAGGTCTGAAACGGGGGAGAAACTGTATTTGACATTGTAAAAATGGCTGTGATCACAGAGAGATACCTTGGCCGGATTGAACACGGGGACATTTGAACACTTACTGTAGATACTGAAGAAGATGGGCAGAAAGGAGGGGATCATCAGTGGTAGGAGAGTAGGGTGTTAGAAGCCAAAGACTAAAAGTTTGGGGATGATAGAATGCTCAACAGAGGTCCCGTAAGACAAAAATGGAGACATCTCCATGGACTGGGCAGTTTGGAGGCCAGTGGTCACCTTAGTGAAACCGGCTTCCACTGGAGTAGTGGCTATAAAAACAAAGTGGCCATGGGTTGCTACCATTAATGTGAGAAGTTCCTGAAAAACAATAGGAAAATTTTAAGGTTACAAAGATTTGACTGCTTTTGTAGACTGAGGGAAAAAGAACAGAGGAAGAGACTGCACGGGGAAGATGGTACTGAACAAGATTGTTATGAGGTTGGTTTTTGATCTGAGTTGAAATCCTGTTTCTTTCACTTCATTCCTCTGTGCCCTTGGGCATGTTGCTTAACCTCTCTGAGCCTAAATTCTTCATTTCTAAAAGAGGCATGGTAATACCTACTTTTTAGGGTTTTTGTAACATAGATAACATAGTTAGAGCCTTAACATAGTACTTGGTACATAATAAATATTTAGTGAATAGTTATTTTTATTATAAAGATACAGGTGAGAGAAACAAAAAGTATCTGATATTTATGCAGTTGAAATATTCTATCACCATATTAAATGTTTAAAACTTTATGTAGTCATTTTATTCCTCAATATCCTACAAACTGTACAATAAAATATCTTTAAACTTACATGCTTATTACAGCCTAACCGCAAAAGAAATATTAACATACTTATTGATGACACTACTCAGGGTCATTTTGTACTTAAAAAAGGAAATAGCTTTGTTCAAGAAAATTCCATAGCTCTAAGGATGTTATGGTTTTCATTTATGTGAAGATAAAAATATCTCTTATACGTACATATAAATTATTTGGTACCCTGATTTTTACAAAGCTGGAAAATGATAAAGTAATAAAACAAATCATACTTTTAGTTTAAAACCAAGAAATAATACTTAGTGTGTAAAATTTTCTTAAATCTTCATACTTTATGATAATGTTTTAGAGTCTAAGGTTCTTGACCTTCAAGTCTTCCCCAAATTTGTTCTGTTCTGCATGAAGTTGCCCAGATTTTAAACTGACAGTGTAGAGCAACATGCAATTTCTCATTTCCCTCTTATTTCTTGTACCATTCACAGATGTGTACCTGGCTTCTTTTTTTTTAATTAGTGAAGAAAAGGATAATGTGTGACAATATAGGCAATGGAGATGAGAAGTGGCAATTATCTCCATTAATAACTAGAAATGTGATTATATGAGCATCAATTGCTTAATCAAGTAGGTTTTAGAGTGTCCATTAGTAAAAATGTTTATTATTAAATGTCAGCGGGATATAGAAAATAGTGGAAGAGACACCACAGGGAGGCCCTCTGGACTGGAGGGCTGAATTTTGACTAATTGTTCATTTCAGGACCTCATGGAGTTTTTTCTTCCTCTTTTAAGCTCATTTCCCCCCTACCTGGCAAGTGAGTGTAAAAGTTGGTCTGGAGAGTTGACATTTGGGACAGTCATTCTTTGATTCTCATGATCTATCCAAGTAGTTTCATGCCCCGCATCTCTGTATCTATCCTCTCTTCCAAGAGTAGTCACTTCTTCCTCTATTAACTACTTAAGTTTGTTAAAGAAAAATAATATTATACTAATTTAGCTTAAATTAATACAAGGTACTTACAAACATTTTAAATACCTTGTTGAAGAATGAGATCGCAGACTCCTAAAATTCTATTTAACAAGTAATATTAAATTACTTATCTTCTTTAATGGTGATGTTATTGTAATTTTTAATTAAATTTATTGGGGCAACATTGGTTAATAGGATCCCATAGGTTTTAGATACAGAGTTCTATATACAAGATCTGTATATTGCACTGTGTGCCCACCACCCAAAGTCAAATCTTCTTTCATATATTAGGCCTCCTTCATCCCCCCTCCCCACCCCCTCCCCCTTCCCTCTGGCAACCACCAACCACACTGCTATCCATGAGTTTCAGTTTTATATCCCACATGAGTGAAATCATATGGTTCTTAGCTTTTTTCCGACCGGCTTATTTCATTAAGCATAATATTCTCAAGGTCTGTCCATGTTGATGGCTCTTATCAACAAGACAAGTAATAACAAGTGTTGGAGAGGTGGTGGAGAAAAGGGAACCCTCGTTCACTGCTGGTGGGAATGTAGATTAGTACAGCCACTGTAATTTTTAATAGTTACATAAAAATTTTATGACTCTGTTTATTACTTTTAAAACTAGGTATACTTAAATATTCATCTTCCTCATCGCAAAATTAAAATTGGTTTCACCAATTCCCCCTACAAAAGTCATAAGGTATTGCATGCAAACAGTTGTCATAATACCTACCTTTTAGGATTGTTGTATGGGTTAAATAAGATAATGATGTAAAGATTTAACACAATTCTTGGCACAGAAAATTTTCAATAGATAGTAGTTATTTTTGTTATTAAGGTAAAGGTGAGAGAAACAAGATTCTCTGATGATTTTTCATGAAAACATTTTACCATCTTTTTAGATATTTAGAACCTTATGTAGTCAATTTTAAACCCATAAGATCTTATCATCAAAATGTGTAACAAAGAAATATATTTTAAAACTTATGTTCATACTTTTCAATACAAAAGAAATAGTAAGGATAAATCTGTTTAGCACATAATACAAGGTGTAATACTGTTGGGCAACTAGGCAATGTGTGATACTATCAAGACCTTCTCCAAACAGCCCACAAAAACCTCAGCTAAGCGTAGGCGGCCCTGCAGTCCTGAGACTGGATTCCTGCCCAGTCACCCAGAATTCTGCCTAGCCAACTCCTCACTGCGAACACAGGGCAGACTGACTCCCCTAGATACCCTGGCCCTCTTAAAACCAGAATGGGTAGGTAAATAAAAACAGTATATAACAGGTTATATCAGTTTGGACAGTGCTCCAAACAGTAATAAGGGGGGGGGAGATAAGTTGCAGAATGGTGTGTATTATCAGGACACCATTGGGAGATGTGTATTATCAGGACACCATTGGGAGATTATATATATATATATATATATATATATGAAAGTTGATAACACAATCCTAGGTACTGTTTATGGATAATCATATAAAATATGAACACATTCTAGAAGGATATGCAGCACAGTTGCCTTTGAGAGGAGGGTGGGAGAGAATGGGCCTGGGAATTGATGACAAATGGGAACTTCAACTTTAATTTTTTAAAGAAAAAGGACTTAAATATGTCGTCTGTTAACAGTCTGTTCTTGGAAATGGGTTTGTTAGTTGTTCATTTATTTTATGCACTTTTCTGCATTGCTTAGATTTCTGAACATACCTGGGAAATATAGAAGCTGGAGGCTAGCTTACAGGTCAGCAAAAGTGGGTGGAAGAGGCTTGGTGTCACGTTACCCTTATAATGTGGTTACAGCCAATGCATTCATCTTTACTTTCAGTTAAACTGACTTAAGTGCATACTATATGTTTTCCAAAATATAGGGCCAACATGCTACCTTTGGACACATATTTTTATTTAGTAAATATAGGCATCATGATGTGCCCAGCCGTGTGCTACTCAGGGATGGAAGACTCAGAGTTCTTCAAGGTATACCCAGAAACTAGGTGTATGAATGGTCAGCCCTGGTATGTGAGGATACCAGGCGAGGAGTGTGGTGAGCCTAAAGGCCTCATCTAAAGGCAAATGCATTTTTAAACAGGTCGTGAGCCAAATTAAATGGGACTGTGAGCCAAATTCTTCTGCATTTGTAAATTCTGATCTCCCTGTAGATGCTGAGATACAGTTTAACCCTTGGAAAGCTCTGCAACTTTTCTCATAGGTGTCCTGGGAAGATAAATGAAATGGATCACCTTACTCAGAATAACTGGGTAATTATCTATATGCATAAAGCAGGGGAAATAAGTTAACAGAATGGACAAAGGGTACATGACTGCAGAGGTGGCTAGTGTGGAATTGCCTGCGTTTAGTAATTAGTCCAACAGCTTCCCAGATGTAAGTTTCAATCAAGGCAGCTGTGCTGTGCGTGTTATTCAGGCCAGACGTGTGTAAAGGAATGCTGAGTGGGGAGAAGAGGTCAGGCAAGTGATAGACACTCTGAGATCGTCATTCTTTATCTGTTCAAACAGTTACGCCATTTGGGTTTGGGGGAAAATGGGGTGGGCTCCCCGCGTGGAGGGAGCCTTGGGTGTGGCCAGTTCTGCAGCCAGTTCCCATCTGAATATCAGCCTTCACTAGCTTCCTGAAGCCAGGAGCTCCAGAGAAGGTAGAGGGAGCTCCCTAGTGGCCATAGCCCGCAGTTCAGCCCCTCCGCCCTTCCCTTTGGCCACATGCCTGGCTGCTGCCCGAAAAGAAACAAGCCAGAACCAGAAGCAACGCAGGACCGGCTGGAGGATAAGCTTCATCTGTGGGAAAGAGACCCATGGCCCAAATTCCTTGCAAAATTATCAGACGTGGAAGAAGCATGTGGAAGGGGAGAGAATCCGTTTTCCCCAATCATGTGTTCAATCCCCCCCCCCCGCCCCCCATCTGCTATTTTATCGTCAGCCTTCAGTGGTGAGAATTCCAGAGTGTGTTGTCATCTGAATTTTCCAAATGTGAATATAAGTTGATTTTTCTCTGGTGGAATTGGCACTTCTGTTTTCTGATTAGGGAATTAAATTGCCGTTTTGCTTCTTTAATTTATTAATCTGATGTGTTGTTTTCATTAATTCTAGAAGTGGAAAGCTAAATAACCATTTAGAAGCTGCTATTCATGAGGCCATGAGTGAACTGGACAAAATGTCTGGGACGGTAAGTTAATTTATTTTTCCATTATACTGTGTTTCTTTGAAAATAAATTGTATTACACTTTTTTGCTACAGTCTCTAAAATATTGTCAAGCAACTCATGTAGCAATACTAAATTACTAGGCTCTAAAGAAGACTGATACCAGAAAAGATCCAAAAGTAATTAAAAAAAATAACCTAGCAGTATTAACTATGTCTTTTTCTGAGATAAGTAACTTTTTTCCCCCTGCATATAGCATTTTTTAAAAATATGAGCAACAAAATATTGAATTCAAACCACAGCTTTTTGCATTGGACTCTGAATAGCCGTGGCCATTAATGTTGCCTAAATATTCACGGATGCAAATTTTGTCCATAGAACAAAAAAGTGAAATTGAACAACAAGGTCAAGATCAACAGTTCATAGACCTCTCATTTCCTTTCTACTGTTAGCTAAAAAATAAAATATTTGGCACAAAACTCTGTTGTTAAGCTAATTAACACTGTAACCTCTGGTTTTAGAGAAGTAGTATCTACTTTTTCTTTCCTTTATTGAACAGTGCATATAACAGTGTTGAATGTAAGCAATTTAATCATTATCCTCTAATTCACTAATGTAAACACTCAAAGTATAGTTTTGGTAATCGTTTTAAATATGTGACATATCTAAAGCTATTCAGCTCTGAAAGGTCATTTCTTTTCCTTTTCCTTTTTCTTGACACTTTGTGCTAACACGGTTATCTGAGAGCCATCCAGTGGCTATTGCATGACAGGTGTATGTTACAGACTCACAGAATGTTGGGATTGGTGTGGACTTTAGAGACTCTGTGATCCAACCCATCACTTCACAGATGGGCAAACTGAGGCCCTGAGATGTTAAATTTCCTGACAGAAAAGTCTGGAACTAGGATTATACACTCAAATGCCTTCTAGGACCAAGCAAATAATACCCATAGGTAAGGTGAGTCAGGTGTGAGGAAAACAGCAGTTCTCGTGGACTGAGACGTGCCAACCCAGACGCACTGGTGAGATCAGGCTGCCCGCCACTGCCAGTCTTAGAGGCTCCGCACAGTAACTGCTTGCTGCCGTCTGGTTCTGATTGGGGACGGTCTTGCTCCACACAGTGTTTCAGGGGCCCAGGTTCTTTAGCATCCACTGTTCCTTAGAGCCTCAGGCTGCTCCATTATAACCTTGGCATCGAGCCCAGAACCTCGAGAAGAGAGTGCACACAGAGCACCACCAGGATAGGTTTTATGGGCCAGGCCTGGCAGACATCACTCCTGCTGACTCTCGGCCTGACCCAATCATGTGGCCTTTTTTTTTTTTTAAACACATAGTTTTATTGATTTCAGAGAGGAAGAGAGAGGGAGAGAGAGAGAGAGAGAGAGAGAGAGAGAGAGAGAGAGAGAAACATCCATGATGAGAGAGCATCATTGATCAGCTGCCTCCTGCATGCCCCCCACTGGGGATCGAGCCCACAACCCGGGCATGTGCCCTTGACCAGAATCTAACCTGGGATCCTTCAGTCCGCAGGCTGACGCTCTATCCACTGAGCCAAATCGGCTAGGGCTCATGTGGCCTTCTTAACTCATGGACGAGGACATGTCTTATACAAGTGCCTGCTCAGGAAGAAGAGAAAATGGGTTTAGCGAGCATCTCACTAGTGCCTGCCTCAGGACATTGGCCTCTGTGGCCAGGGGACGGTCTTGGGCCATGGGGACTGTGGCAACCGGAGCGTGAGCCCCCTGCAGGAGGGGCTCCTTATTTTCCTGAGATGCTAGAAGTCTAGAAATAAAATCTCTCTCTCTCTCTCTCTCTCTCTCTCTCTCTCTCTCTCTCTCTCTCTCGTTGACAACTATTTTTAAAATAGTAAAACATTGGATGGCTAAACAAAATACCTTTTCATGGGTTACTAGTTTATATTCTTGAATAATGGCTTTCCTTGATTATAAAAAGATTTCAGTTATAACTCCTTATCAGAGGCTATGATTTTTTAAAATGTGTAGGAAAGGGTTAAGAGGAAGAGGCATTTTGAAAAAATGCATAAATGTTATTTTTAAGATTTAAATATTATTTTTTAAGAAGTCTTCTGCATTTGACCCTGAATAACACTGACCTTTGCTATTATCTAAATGTTATTTTTTAAAACATACAATAGAGCCAACTTGTTGTGAATATCACGAGCTGATTGTGTACATCTCTTTCTAACTCTTAGTTCTGTGAGATCACATTGGTAGCTTGAAATCGACCATGGTGGAAGTATTTACACTGCGGAAATTGGCATGTGCTACCATGTATTTGTGTCCCTCCACAGGGAGCTAGCTAGTGTTAATCATTTGCTAAGCCGCTGCCTTGGGCCCATCCTGCTTTTCCTGCATCTTGACCTTTCCCTTTCTCATCAGTAGCCACAATACAACATGGGGCACCTGATCACCCCTCTAACACCTGTCCTCTGCCCCTCGAAACCACACCACCTGCTTTCTGATACCTGGTGATCATGCTCCTCGTTTGATTCACCTCTGCTCAATCTGATACACAGCCCTGAATCCTGCTAGTTTCTGTGTTAGTTTATCAAGACGACTTGCTCTTCCCAGACTACACAAGCTCAAATCTGCCAACAGATGGTAGTGGTGTTCCATTTTCCATCCTGACTCTTCTCATAAATAAACTTCCTGGGCCAAGGTTCTTACAATTTTTGACCCTTCTTAGTAGTTGTAAAATAAGTAGGGTGATGAGTGAAGGAGAAAACATGGCTGGTGTGTATTCACCCACTTTCCAGGTCCTGGTGGCATTGATGACCTAGGACTCTCTGACAGGAAAGGCCCTGTTTTCATCTTCAATGTACAGCAGCAATGGCAACTGCGCATCGCCTTTCCTGCGCTTGAATTTTCCCAGTTCCTCCTTTATGTCCCACTGTTGTGGGGTCCACAGAGTGCTGCTCTGCTTCCAAGTTCCCAGGACTCCTCATATTCTGTAGTGGCCGTGGGCACATTGAGATCTAGGGTCTTGGTAAACATTTTAAACACCCTACGAAAGCAGTGATTACAAATAAAAGCCTGAGTCTGTTTCCTACGTTTCTGTGTCAGAAATCAGATGGTATTTATGATTTCAACCTCTCTTGTTGTTTTCCCGCCTCTTTATTTCCAGGTTCACCAAATCCCACATGGAGACAGACAAATGAGGCCCCCCAAACCCAAGAAGAGGAAGATCTCCAGATAACAGGGACTGCTCCACCATGCACAGTGTTTATGAAAGGAACGTGCACAGATATATCTGTATATAGGTATTGATATAGCCACCGTTATATCAATATTTATACTATGGCAGAGAGCTACATCCACCACAGGGTGCTAAAAGAAACAGTGATACAATATTTTTTTGATCAGGAAGGATAATGAATGCTGGAAAAACCAATCAAAATCCCTGAGTGATGGGCGTGATAAATGGTCAAGAGATGACTGAGAAACCCTTTTTTTCTATAACACTAAAATTGTGATTATAAGAGATAGTCCAAATGTTTCTGAAGACTTTTCAATGTTGTATATAGAAAATACAGAATTTCATGGTGATATCAGAAATGTAAATATTGTACAATATTGTCATGTACAAGCGTACTTAATGCACACTTTATCTTTTATTGTACAAAGAAATAGTGTACAAAATTCTTTGGTTTCTATGGAGTACACCTACCAGAGACTACCAGTGTAAAGTGATAAATAAAAATACAACCTAAATGCTTTTCTATGATAATGTAAAAGATGCTGTTTTTGTATTTAACAGCAGAGAAAAGGCATGATGATGTGTATTCCCTGAATTATGACATACACTGCACACCACTGAGTGTCCATTTATATTGTCTGTTTGGACGCACCTGGCCTGCAAGCACTGGACTTGACCTCGGGTGTCTAGGAAGTCGAAACCTTGCGGATTTCTAAAGGGTTGAGGGCTCACAGGTCTAAATTAAGAATTCAGAAACTGCAACCATTTGTTGCATATTTTTTTTACCTAAGTTTTAAAGTAGAATAGGTTTTATAAAAAAAAATCTTAGAGGGAATATTTTACTCAGTCATTTCTGTAGGTAATGTTTGATAGCCACCTATTGAACTAGATTGCTTATGCTGCACCACCGTGATGCTCAGAGCTAAGTTTCTTTGCAAACAATACCTGACAAGATAAAACTTTCTTCTGTTCCTGTACATGGAGGCTAAAGCCCCACTTTGAAATCATCATCAGAGGGAAGGTTGGTTATAATTCAGTTTTCCTTTGGGGGCAAAAAGAAATATGAATCATCAAAGCAAGTTTCATATATCCATCCATTTATCAGTATTACTTAATCCGCAAGCTAAGGTGGCTTTCAAAATTATTAGCAATGGTAATTTTTTATCAGTATTATGTAACATATCAGATTTATTTTATTTAAAGAATTATTTATACCATTAACAGATTCTTATATATATATATATATTAATGTGGCTGAAATGTGCAGGTTAAATCTATTAACCAAATTATTTATATTATATTAAATAAGAAACAAATTTGAAACAAATGTAGAAAGAAAATACTACATTACAAGTATACAAGCCAAGTATACAAGCCTAAAACTGTGAGCCATTGTAAAGTACAAGGTTATTAATAAGAAATGTAGCACAACATAATTTTCTGTCAATTTTTGTGGTGGTGGTATAACCCTATCTCCCAAGCAATTGAACAAATTTTCAGGCCTCCAGCCGTATTGTCAAAAGAAGTCCATTATTCCTTTATTTTTCCTATGACCAGCCCCACCCCCAAATTCTTTCTCCCCTAGGGAATTCTTTCTCCCCTAGGGAGCGCTGCCTTGTCCCCCTAGCCCAGGGCTCACTCAACAGCTTAGTGATCGGGCTGCTGGGAGGCCCTCCAATAGCTCACCCTTACTCCTCCTCTCTCATCCATCCCCCAAACTCCTCAGTCCCATGACGTAGCAGAGTTCCAGTAACTCAGGAAAAAGGAGACCAAGGTCATTCCTCCAACTGGTTTCTTGGGGCCACAGCACAGAACACTCCCCCTGGGCTGTTCTGTAATATCAGCAGCTCTGAATTCTTCCCCCAGGTCTCCTGTGTCTCTGTGTCCTTTCCACTCCCACCCTCAGCCCTGTCCCCAAGCAAACTGGCCACACTGGGCTCCATGGGCTGGAGGGAGGGACCCTTCCTTCTGGGGTAGGTTCGTTTTGTCTTTCCCCAGTCCTAGAGTCACCATTTGTGTAGTTGAGTTGGCACATTTTTGTAATTAGTTGATGTGTTCAGTGTGTTTCAACCATTAACGTTGTCCATTTTTTGTGCACCAACCTGCTTTTCTACTGTTTTGTTTTATATGATTGATTTCAGTCACAGATAGGTTCCTGTGTCTATCTGGGTATGTGTGTGTGTGTGTGTGTGTGTGTGTGTGTGTTCATATGTACAAGTTTCTTCAGCCTTTGCTTTTTTGTCTTCAGACTGAGTTTGTGTCAATCAAGCCTTCTTTTTGATATTTTAAACTTACTGGGTTTGTGCTTCCCCCACCCATGTATACTTTACATCAGTAGACCATGTAAAGTATGTTTGCGCCCATGATTTCATTGGCTGCTCACAGCTTTGATGTGGGTGCTATGTGTGGTTGTTTCAGTCCACCAGGGTTTTTTCCCCCCCTTTCTCTTTTACAGTTATATGATTTCATGTAAGCAGTTAATGTAAACATTGTTGGCATGACAGGTCATGCAGTGCTGTAACATTTTTTTTAAATGTTGCACCTACTTTACAATTAAAAAACTGGTCACCATACTTAAATTTCGCCCATAGAGCCATTTCTTTCTCTTTGTATTAAAGCCAATTCATTTTTTTAAAATGAAGGCTAGCCCTTCTACATTAGTACATTTTTTTATTCCCTAAAATAAACTTTTCCCCCTAATATATCTGAGAATGGGAACAGAATGAAAATGTTTTGCTCCTTTTAAGAACTTAATAGCTCCCCTTGGAAAAGGCAAACTGATTTTATTCTGTTCCCCTAACAGTCTTAGGAAGCACAAGGAGAATAAACTATACCTTTATGTAGTTTCCAAAGATTATTTCCAACAAGTGAAAATTAACAGAGCAGCTCTTGTTTGATTTGTCTTGTTTGTGGCATTAAAAGCAATCAGGGTTTTTATTTATTTAAAGGAACATTTCAATTCTATTGTGAATATCAATACTTTAAGAAGAATATTCATCCCTTGTGATATCATGGGCCACTTTTAGTCTTTTAATTAGACCCTGACTTTGAGTTATTTGCTGTGTCCGTTTTTTTAAGTAATCACAACCTTCTGTTTTGAACATACAGCAGAATTGTGGGAGGAGCAGAGGGCAGTTATTTTGTTTTCCGTTAAGTTTTATGAAAATTCTCAACTGACTTATCCCATGAGGAGATTCCTTTTTCCTTTCAGAGTGCAGTTACTTTGGTAATCGTCCGTGCTGTGTGCAACGTTCCTGTGTAAGTCACAGGCCATCCTGCACTGAGATTTTAAAATCTAAGATGCGTAAGATGCTAGTGACACTGCTCTTTGTGAAAAGAAAGCCAAGGATTCTAGACCTTACTGAAAATCTGAAATCTTGTTTACATTGCCCATTTATGCCCAAATAGTCTAACACAAGACTCAAGACATGTCACTGTCATGTATAAAATGAGTTATGCAATACTTTATTGATGTGGGGGCTGTGGCCAAATTAATAACCTGATATTAAGAACTGTAATATTGAATTAGTTTATCTTTTTCTTTCATTCACTCTATCACATTTGCATTAGCCAAAGAGATAAGAACATTAGTAATTCATGTGTGTAAAAAAAAAAAAACCCTAGTGATTTTTAAATCAGTGAGCCAAAAAGCAATAAACAATTCCAGCATGGGATATCCTGCTAAGAGTAGGGAGTCGGATGGAAAAAAAATATACAAAAAGCATTTTCTTAAATATGAAAGATTAATTTGTATCTACTGTAAATATGTATTATCAGCCTTACCTGCTTTTATACACACTGTGTGTGTACTTCAGTGACCTTTTATAAACCGGGGGAAAAAATGGTTGATTTACTGATTTGTTATGTAAATACAAAGTTGTCTATAAATTGGAAAATTTGATGCCGGATGGCTTCACAATATACAAATGTGTTTTGTAACATCATGCCTTTATGGATTAAGTATAAATACACTGATTGTCTGTGTAGAAAAGTAGCAATTTACATTTCACCTGCATTTCAAATGAATATCTTTATCCAAATGGTTATAGCCTTAGGAAAAATAAGTGACATCAACATTTTCATTGCGGAAAAACAAATATGGTTTTGAATTCACCAAAACTCCTTTTCACACTCAAGAGTCTTTTCAGTTCCATGCTAAATGCCTTGTATTAGGAGATTTCCATAGGTGGTTTGATTCATCGATCCAGGTCTGGGCTCTACCTAGGAAACCTTCCCAAACTGAATTGTTCTACTTTAGAGACAGGCTGTGCATCTTAATTTCTAAATTGTAGGCAGAGAAAAAGCCACAGCCACCTTATTGCTTTTGACTTATTCTTTTCTGCTTTAGTTCATACGTCTTAGAAACACCACACAGATCGTCAGGGCCTAGTTCTCATGTGCCAGGAGTGTCATCTCAGCTCGGGGCTTGTCGGCCTTGGCACCGGTAACATTTGGGTGAGATCATGCATTGTTGCGGGGGCTGTCCTGGGCATTGTAGGATGTTTGGCAGCCTCCCTGGTCTCTACCCACCAGATGCCAGTAGCTTCCCTTCCAAATTGTGACAATCAGAAGCGACACCACACATTGCCAAATGTCTCCTGGAGGGGGACCTGGGGGCGGGGGACAAAATGAGATTTGAAAACCGCTGCCTTAACAGAATCAGTTAGGGAACATATGTCTGTGTGAAGTACGCCATGTTTTGCATGCTGTAATCTGCAGGAAATGGATTCCTAGATCAAAATCCAAAACAAAATCCATGCCAAGGGTGAGCTTCTCGATCCATGGTTAAGGAAGGGAACACATAAGCTTTGGCTTTATTTTGAACACATTTGACACTTTGATGCTAAGACCCAGAACAATCATGTTTTGAGAACTCTCAGAAAAGGCTCAGGAGAGTCACCTGAATTCTGTGGTCCCGAGTTTCTGAGAAGACTGATGGTCCACGCTGGGTAATGCAAGGGGCTTCCAGCAGTGGGAGGGCTAGTGTAGCTGCCCCCCCTTGGTGAAGATGAGGAAGCTGGCAAAGGAGGCCCTGTTCTGCGTGTATTTTAACAGCTCTCTGCAGCGGCCTGGTTCAGGAATCGGTCGTTTCTGTGTGACGCTCTTAAAAGTTCTGATAGAAGCAGTTCAGGAGACCTTGGAGATATCATGGATAAATATATTCATTCAATAAATATTCATGGACACCTGCTCTATGCCCCAACCTGTGTGGCAAGGGGGATGCAATAGTGAATAAGACAGACCCCTTCTTTGCCCTCACAACAGCTGCCCAAGGAGGTAGCCAATTAACATGTAAGTACAACAGAAGGTGGTAGGGCTGGGATAGGGAAGCCCATCACAAGCCCCTGGCCCCATTTAATGGGGATGGGGCTTCATTGGGGATCAAGGAAGATGAATAAAATTAGTCGGGCACAGGAGATGTGTGTGACGTGGAGGAAGGTAAATGAGAGCAAGTTAGGGGCAGAGAGAACAGGTGTGTAAGGCTTGGAGCTAAGGAGTGTGAGAGGAGAATAGA